GCATTTTGAAGAGCAGTTTTCGGTTCACAAACCTGAAATGTTCTTTTGAAACCAATATTGAATTCATTTTTATTCGATAATAGATCTATGTAGATGTATGGGTGGGTTTTACCATTTATAATTTTTAAATAACTCAGTATAATGAAATGGATATAGAAATAAATTATTAATTTAAAAATGAATTAATTGAACCCTAAAAAAAGTTCTGAATCTGTATAACTGATCAATAAACTAAATGTTAGTGATGGAAATAACGTGACACTAAAAAGTGCATAAAAAATCAGTTTGAAATTCAGGTACAGAAAACAAATAAAGGCAATATATTAAAAATTATATCCAATGATCAACCATCACATTTCAATTTTATCAAATTAAGTACGTATATAGGTTTAATTAAAATATAAATAAACAGTAACGAATGATTAATTACAAGACAAAATGCTGGCAGTGATGTGAAACAGGTCGATCAAAAAATTATAGAAGGAAAAGCAATGGTACAGCAAAAACAAAATTAGTGCTAGACAAACTTTTTAAACTATCTTAATTAAAATACCTTGAAACAAACTAAGCAACATCAATCAACTAGTGGTGCTACACCGGCACAAATTTTCTCATGTAATTTCAAAATTTGCAATCATCGGAAATTCATAGAGTTCAGCAAAAATGGGACCTGCGTCATTCTTTTAAGCATTTTTTGTTCTATCTCTGGAAATAATTAGAAGAAAAATTCTGGAGAGGTCTTTTAGAATTTTTTGAAATTGCTAAAATTTCAAGAATAAATTACGTAAAACTACTCTTTCTAAAAAAATGTACATGCCTTTCTTTCAAGAGCTGGGGTTTCAGAATAGATTCCCTTTAAGGTAAAAATCTCTGTTAAATTTAATAGCTTTCAAATGTTAAAAGATTGTAATTTTTGAAAAAAAGAGAGTTCGCCGGAAATGAGACAAGCACAATTTTTTACCGTCCTTTCATTTGAAAACTTTTGGAGCCTTATTGTAGAAAAAAATTGTTTATAAAAATACAAATTGTATATATTTCATGCAAAATTACACGAAAGCTATTCATAATTTTGGAAAATTGCAAAGAAACTTATTTCAAGATCTGTCTTTAAAGAATTAGTTTATTTTTAATAGGTAATTATTACAAACAAATTATCTTACTTGATTCTATGTGGGTAGGCTACTAACATAACCTCTGCGACCACATCGCACAAAAGAAAGATCTGTAGAAAAGTTACAACAGAAAAGTACAACAAACAACGCATGCATGACACGGAAACTCGAAAACCCTAAAAATAATGTTTCGTGTTGTACCCTTTTTGTCCAAGGCTAATGAAAAGAGAGCAGTTTACAAGTTCTAGTACAAAACAATGTCATTTCACTGTTAACACAGAGTTAAAGATATTTCAGAAAATGTAATTGAAATGTTCTATATTTAGTTAAAAACTTAATGCATTACAAAAATACCATCAATATTAGCGAACACGTTCGATAAGTGTCGCATATTAAACCCCACCCCTTCCCTATCCATTTCTCTATCCTTTCCATTAAGAAGGAAAGTTGTTAATGAAACGTGTTTATTGTTAAAAAATGTATAAATGTAGCGTTGTACTTAAACAATATCAAACAAAAATAAAAACAACGCAATTAACGTTGGAAAAATAATTGGTTGATCCGGAGTTTAGGGTGGCACGGTTCCTTTGGTTCACCGATTCGGTTCACTAGAGGGGAATCGACTCACTGAACTGAATACTTGGTTATTGTTCGCGTGTTGTAATGTACATTATGTCTTCTTCTTCTTCTTTTTATCTTCCAGTATTTAGGCATAATGCCTGGTACGCCGCTCAATTTTGGTCCCTCCAGCGCATTCTTGGACGTCCTACAATCCTTTTTCCTCTCGGCTGATAATTTGCCACTTGTTTAGGAATTCTGGCGTTGTTCATTCGCAACATGTGATCTTGCCATGAGAGTCTGTAGTTGGTGACTTTCTCTATAAGACTTTCTACATTTAGCTCGTTTCGGATTTGTATGTTTCTTTGTCTGTCCAAATGCTATATCCCGCTACCGCTCTAAGGAATCTCATTTCCGCTGCCTGCAGTCTTGATATACCTTTACTTGTCCTTGTCCACACTTCACTCCTATACAAGCAGGTTGGTATTGACATAACCTTGTAAAATTTAATGAAAGCGTTTTTTCTCACTTTTGAACTGAGTGTTCTTCTTATAGTTCCATTCATTTGATTGAATCTTTCTATTTTCTTATTTATGTCGATTTCGCCATAGAATGATATGTCTGCTTCCAAGAATGTGAAGTGTTGTATCTGCTCTACTGTTTTATTATTTACTACAATTTTTGGGCGTATCGGGTATCGACCTTGGAATGCCATCACTTTCGTTTTGGTGTCTGAAATTTCAAGATGATATTCTGCCATTATCCGCTGCAGTTCATACGTTGCTTTTTGTAATATATCTTCTCCTTCTACTATTATTGCTTGGTCATCTGCAAAAAGTATTGTCCATAATTTTGATGTAGTTAGGTCTAGGCTATAAATTTTTAATCTGCTCTTCCACTCACGAAGAGCTTCGTCTATGTAGATATCAAACAGTAGCGGTGAAAAACTACATCCTTGTCGTAGGCCTTGGTCCACTTCCGCTTTTCGATCTGGTTTCCAAGTAATACATATTTCAGATTTATTATACATATTTTCAATTACAAGGATAAGATTTGGGGATTCCTTTCTTTCTTAATATTTCAAAGAGGGTATGCCTGGCTACAGTGTCAAAAGCTTTCTTGTAATCTACAAGCAAGACGTTATGTTATGTTATCGCAATAAATATAATTTCTATTTCACAATCACATGCTACTTAAATTTTCATAACTACTCAAAGCCAATATTTTATTATTAAAGAATAAACCTATCTACTTAATACATTTTTATACACTCTAGAATCCGCAGTATATTTCACTAACAGTCTACTTTTTTTATTGGGAGGCTATCGCCCCCCAAACGCATTTTAATAATATAAAATCAGCCTTTTTTCAAACCAATACTATATGATAAAGATAGCATTTTATTACAAAAAAATCAACTCATATAATCGCTGAAATTATAGTATTTTTTATTTTAATAGTATTAAAAATACCATGGTAGTAAAATGAGTGTAAAGTTTCTGCACTAATTACTTAGAACATTCTTATAACACGAAAAATTTCAATAATTCATCAACGTATCACCAAATCTGCATATATCGGAAAAAATACACACTCTATACTCTTTATCAACTGAAGTTCAGTAAACCCAAAGAAACCTTGCCACCCTAAATTCCGGATAAACCAAAAAATTTCAAAAAAGTTTTATTTGGTTATGTAGAAATTTTTTCTTCGAGCAATTCACACATCCTTAAAAACTTTTGAAGTTCCTTGTCAGTTAGCTTTTCACTTACCTTGATAGTCCCAAAATATTAGAAAACGTTTTTACTCTTGAGAAAGCTATGTGACTGAACACGCTGACTTAAAAGTTTTGCCAAATCACTGCTGATAACGAAAATACTGGTACAGGCGAAACACAAACCAAACCTAACAAGACACGTCTTCACTCTTAACTGTACTCCCACATCCCTCCACAATTAAGTATATAGCACTTGTATTCTCGGCAAAACGTTAAATGAATGTTTTTACTACAGGCATAAGAAACAATTTTCATCGATATCAAGCAACCATTAATAGAACTTGCATTGTGTGAGGGATGAGTCTTGTTGACAAAATCTACTTATCAGAAATGTTTGCTCCCGTGTAATAGAAGCTATTTTGCCAATGAAAACGAACTCCAGGTTTATATAATAATCCTGTCGTCGAAATAACCAATCTTCCATTCTTCTCGCATATAGCGAAATGAGGGCTCAAAAACAAACGTGCGCGGTTAATAGTTGTTTCTGCAGGAGGGAATATTTAACTTATAATTATGCAAATAAACCTCGTCAATATGCGCAAACCACGGTGAACACAGAAAGTATAAATATTATAAGATAGAGGAATCTAAGCCTTCGGAGCGTGACGTCACAAAGACGGCCATCACCAAGGGTTGAAATCGAGGTGGCATTGGTAGTATCGATAAGTGCCGAAGCAGCAAATATTTAATGCAATGTCCAACAATATCTCATTCTATAGATTACGGCATGAGAAACGTTTCTATATTTAGTTTTTATAGCCCTAGAATGCTTCATTTAGAAGTTATTTAACGATATATCTGATTCAGTGCTACGAGTTGCATTTCATGTGATTGTTTATGTGTGCTTTTTTAAACAAGTCCTTTGTATTTTTAAAGTAAAAGTGTTTTTAGTCACACCTCCGTGAAATTCTCTTTCTTTAGAGACATCATTTATTATAAAGATGGGTTGCGTGTGAGATCCGCAAAAGATATTCCTCGGTAGGTATACCAGTCAAATCGTCTATTGAAATAAACGATTCCAACAACATTTCAATGTTGCTGACTATGGACAACAAATGACGGCAAATAAGCATTCATTCTATTTATTTTATGATATTATTAAAACTTACTGTTTGTATTATAAAACTGTGAACAAGGTTAGGTGATAGGATCCAGGACCCACTACCTTGCATTTAAAGAAAATATCACGAAATTTGGTTTAGTAGAAAACTTAAACTTCTTTCTAAACGAAAATCATTTGTATTTGGAATTTGTAGATTCTAAATTTCACATAATAATCAAAATGTACAAATTCATTCACTCCTTTAAGAATTGTAATATACGTTTTGTACTAATATTGAATTCTTTTTATTAAAATTGGCACATTTTCTAACATGAAATTATTTACATTAAACAAAATAAAACATATTACTACAGAAAATTATTACTATTAACGAAATAAAACAGCTCAACTATTTCTTCTAAAAACACCCTTCTTCTCAGTGGCTTGCTCGGCATATTTTCATAGAATGTAATACGATTTATTGTCGGCATTTTAGAAAATCACATTTTTTTCAAAATCCAACCTTTGCTTTATGGTATTTTAAATCACAAAAATTATCGATCACATGAGACATTTGTAAAGTCCAGATGGTTAACACCTGTTTACTATTTCTGGGAAAGAAAATTTCAATACCAGGCATCTTGTACTTCCATGACAATTGTTTACCTGTATTCAACAGAGTAATTATGGAGTCGTTTGCAAGTTGAGGAGCGCCTAATCTCAACGTATTGTTGGCAGGCCAGTCCTCTACAAGAGCGAACACTGTTGTTCCCACAGTTTTATCTGATTTACTCGTATACCAAACTCCGGGGGTAATGCAATCTTTCTCTGTTTTCCATGGCTTTGTGCTATAAATTGCAACACCGTTTTTTTTAAACCAAGATCCAATATTGAGAAGACGTTGCTGAACGATCTCAGGTATTGCACCAAGTCTTGTAGGGGCTATGTTTAGTAAGAAATTACCACCGCTGCTCACTACTCGCACTAGTTCTAGCAGTATTTTATAAGTGCTTCTAAAATCTGATTTTACTGAATTGCGTCTAAAGATCCAAGATTTTTTGTCTATGGACATGGCACGTTCCCACTTATGAAGTTCTGCATTGACATAATTTTTCATGCTTACGTACGAATGGAAGTCACCATGCTTACCTCGACAGTTCTTCCCCCAGCGATCGTTTACAACAACTTTATTCCTCACTGGACTGTGATTGTACAGCCAACTTAAAAATTGTTTGGATTTCCAGTAGTTATCGTCTGCCTGCAAGTCACCATCTGCCCATATAATTGCAGGTTCATACTCTTTCACTAGGTGACGAAGATCAGGAAGCATTTTTTGTGTGACGTATTTGTCAGTTTTGAAGGCGCTTTGCACATCAAGTTGATAGTGAAGATTAAACCATTCAAATAACGAATAATAAATTCCGAATTCCATTGTTCGCTTAGAACGAATTGCATTGGCGAATTCTCTAAGTAAGTCGTGACGGGGCACTATTAACCATGAATCCAATACACCGTACTTGGAGGGCCACATAGTGAAGCCATCGTGATGCTTGCTTGTTAATATGACATACTTTGCGCCAGAACTCTCAAAACGTTTTGCCCATTCCCGGGGCTCGTAATGTTTGACTGTAAACAACTTCTTGTAATCTTCGTAAGTAAAGTTGCTTGAAAAATGTTTCTTCATATATGAAATGTATTCACTTTCGTTTCCTCTTCGGAACAACTCGCTGCCAAACCCCGGCACAGAGAACAGTCCCCAGTGCACCATAATTCCAAATTTTGCTTCATCATACCATGTCGGCGACGGTCTGGTGTCCAAGTCTTGCCATGTTGCTCGATAATGAGCTAAAACCGTATGATGCTGAAGTAAATATAAGAAGAATGCAGTAAACCACCGCGCAAATATGAATGTTATATCAAAATACATTTCGAGAGTAACAATAAAATCTACTTGTGTGAATTAGTTACTCTCGATTATAATTCTTTGTTAACCAGTTTTTATTATTATTTGGAATTATTTATTTAGTGGGTTCCCACGGCAACGAAGTACATTCTAAATGACTGAGAAGAACTTTGCTGAAATGTGCTTCATTCACATCACTAACTTGTACATCATCACTTGTACATCCTCCTTGATCACCTTTTACCGTAAACATTTCTTAAAATTAAACAAATATTAATGTAAATTTTTGCTTCTTTTTTAGAAAAGTGAAAACAATTTATGTATCTGGCTGAAACATTGTAAAGGTATCCCTTCCTGTGAAGATACCTCAGAAGCGTATTGTGTATTATGTAATTTATATGAGTGCCGCTTAGAACTTTGAAAAGCAAAAGTGTCGAAAAAATTGTAAAATTCAAAACGTTCATAGTGCAGAGCAATAAAAACTCCACCCCTTACCAAATATCTAGGAACAATAATAGATAGGCGACTAACCTGGAAAGATCATATTAAATCCAACATACAAAATCCTCTAAACTGTATTCACTCATAAATCCAACATCTTCATTGAAACTAGAAACCAAACTACTACGCTATAAAAAAGTGTCACTAGACAAACGCTAACATATGCATGACATGGCTGGTTAAACACTGCACCTTTGCAATATTCAAAAAATTTAAGTTTTTCAAAATTAATGCCTTTGAAAAGTTCTTGGTGCACCCTGGTTTATTTCTAACAGTCAAATTCATCACGAACTTCAAATGTCTTATATCTCTGACTAGGGACGAAAATAAGTATTTGATTAAGGTGAATACAGAACAAATAGTGTTTTTGAGTCGTGTATTCTCAATAACTGTTTTATGTAAGTAAACAACTTTTTTATATTTTCAATCCATTCATTGCTTCAATGAGAACGTTCTTTCTTAAAACATTACCCATTATAATTTTGTAATGTACCCATTGTAATTTTGATATATATTGTAGAAAGGATGCTTCTTGAATGACTCGTATCACCGAAAGAGCATTCTATTGACTCGTAATATCATACCAAAACCGGAATAGCTGGATCTAATTTGTCAACGAAGTATTTAAAATAAAATAAATAAATAAAGACTCCACAACAAACGTTTGAAAAGTATTACCTGGTTTTCAATAAGTCGTCGTCTTGTCGCAAAGCCGATCAGTCGACCGAGAATCATTTATATTAGTCCGAGAGAAACAATAAAATATCAAGGGAACTATCTCCCTTTCTTGTACCTCTTGTCACCGCACCATTACTCTCGTAAGCCTTCGATTCCAATGACCCCCAACACCTATAAAAATCTGTCACGTCCATTTGCTTGGCCGTACTTTTGCTGATTTGCCGCTCATTTGCTTGGCTTCTGCCTAGGACTGGAATGATATTTTACAGGGACCTTAAGCAAGGCCAAATTCAAGGCCCTCTAATGCTTTTGAAATTATGATCGTATGTATCTAAATAATGTGAAAATGAACTTCCAACTTTTGCTATTAGAAAAACCTTACAATATTATATTTTAACATATCTACGAACAATGAATATTTGGGTAGAAAATCACTTAGTCTACAAATAATTAATGAACATCAGAAGTTCGATATTTCTCAACAAAAATAATTCGAGACGTCATACATTTTGTTACTTTGAATCTGTAACAAAAAATAATATATTTCATATGTTTCGTCCATACAATTTTTAGATAGTTATTTTTACAATAATTAAAACATGAAATAGCAAACAGATGACAGTCTGTTAAATAAACTAATAAAAATAAGAATATTTCATTACTTAATTTAATGTCCATTTAGGAGATATTTTAGAATGAAATTTATACAATTATTTGCTAATTCACGAACTTTTGCAGACAGCCAAAATCATTATCAAAACCTTTATTATGTTATTAGACACTTATTTTCACCTGTTTAAATTTCAGAAAAAAACGTGATATAAGTGTATCTGCGTATTACAAAATATTTCAAAATTACCTAAGTCTTCCATGTATCCCTGACGAAAAATGATATCCGAATTACTCATCCAAATAGGGAGCTGTGTTCTCATAAAGTATACAGTTAAGCCCGTCCGCCGTGAGGCGTTGTGCATTTGCGTGCTCTAGAATAAATCCATTCGTAATTCGATGAAAACATCCGGCGGCGGTGAGCCCGCAATGTCCGGTCGTAAACCCGGACGGCCGCTAGAGCGCGTGCGGATGCACGCCCGTCAACCGCCGCGCCGCTCGCGTCGATGTTCGACCGGGCAGAAATCGATACGTCTATCGTTCTGACGGTCGCAGCCAACGACGCCGGGCTGACGGCGTCCGCTCGGAAGCGTGCTCAGTGGATTTATGCCACGACTTGATCATCCGCACGCGACGCTCCCATCTCCGCGTGCCAAGCACAGATTCGTGTTTATGCTCAGGAAACAGCTGGCGGGGATGTTTAAAAAAATATATAATTACCTAAAATCTAGTCTTACAGCCTAATTAGTAATTTTCTTGTGGCCTAATTGGAAACTGGTGACAAATTAATAAAATATTATTCGTTACAATCTAATCCTACTGCCTAATTAGCAATTTTCTTTTGTCCTAACTGGAAACTGGTGACGGATTGACTGGTGAAAATTGGCGATAAGTTAATAAAATATTATTCGTTACAATCTAGTCTTTCAGCCTAATTAGCAATTTTCTTTTGTCCTAACTGGAGACTGGTGGCTCATTCACTGGTGAAAATTGGTGATGGTTTAACCAACTGTAATTCGGGACAATCCAATCTTACAGCCTACTCGTAGCTAGCTATTTCATTTGCCCTAAACTACTAATATAATGCCGTTTCAGCTAAGAGATCACCCTTTACCGTAAAACGAGGAAAAACGGTTCGCACAAGTTAAATTAGAACAAAGATTGTACAAAACACTGTCATCTACAGAGAGAGAGAGAGAGAGAGAGAAGGAGAGAGAAAGAGAAACGGAAACAGAGAGAGAAAGAGGGAGAGAAAGAGAGAGTGTGCGTGAATAAAAGAGAGCGAAACAAAGTCGCGACATTGCTATAAAGCTGTGACCTATGGTATGTGGATCTGTGCGTTGAAATGTACGAGAAGTGGATGTAACGACTGTCAACCCCAAATACTTTCGTAGACAACCATTCAGGATTTTGTCAAAGATAACAAATTGTTGCAGCGTCCAAACGTGTAGTTACAAGTATTTAATTTGTGTACTTTATAATCGACTCCACACTAGTTCGAAAGGCTTTTTTTGGAAAGGTACGACTGATATGGATAAACAAGGATTTTATGTGTATTTGCTGCATCAAGGTTCACTTATACGAGACTCACTTAGAAGACTCGGTACACAAACTACTATTAGTACGAATAAATACTTCTGTATAATTCTGTTGTGAAATATATTAAGTAATAGTATGCCTTAATTCTATCAATTAAATGAATTATATATTTACAAACAAGCTTATTAATCGAAATATTGTACAAATATAAAAACCCTATTTTAAGATAATCATATTTACATAAAATAATCAAAGATTTTAAAAAGTTAATAATGATTTTTTCTACACTATTAATTTGGTTTATTATTTTGTTGCAGGTATGTTCGTGTGTGGTGTTCCGTTTTTCGTGAGTTCTAGAAGGCCAGTAAATTTCCTGGTAAGTGTCTGAATGTTTAAAAAGTTTATGAACTGGACACAATAGTGGAAATACATTTTTCCTGTTCAATATTTTAGTTACTGATATTTCTGAATTATTACATTTTATTGATTCATTTCTAAAAAAACGTACAATGAACTCAACAACAATTTTACTCCACGTGAAAAGAAGAATTAGTTTCAAGTGGATGAGATAATTGCAACTTTAGAAGGTACTAAGCTATTGTGTTAGTTAAAAAAGCATAACACTTCAATATACAATATTTCCTTTTCTCTTTTACGAAAACAATCTTGAAGTGATTTTGTGTAGTGTTCATAAACAAAATTTAACAACTTCTATTTCATACAATTACGTTGAATCATTAAACATTATTGCAATTATTTGATTATATTCTTAAGATAAATAACATTTTATAAATGTTGAACTTGAGCTTCTAACTTTTCTGTTACAAACTTTTATCTTTCCCAAATCAAAAGAAAACGTCCGTCACACGATCTGTTAAATCTGTAACTGTTATCATTGTATTAGTTCACATAGCAATGAATATAAACCATTGTTGTACTAAGATAAATATTTGGATGTAATGATTACTGTGACTATTCCGTGAAATTAAAACCCAGAGTGTTTATACGTGCAAAATACCCCTATCAGGGCGGTGTATCCCAAAATGTTTACAAACTTTTCTATCCGATTTTTCTTACCTCTTCTACCTACTGGCCAATCATACACTGTGACTCACCTATCTTAGGAGACCTAAGATTTTAACATACACTTTCAGTTATTTTCAATATTTGGCGCATTTTAGAATTGTTATACATAATTTTACTCGTGAAATAGTCCTATTAAATACCACTCGTGCATTGGAAATTCTCGCTTCGCGAGTCGGTAATTTATCGACAATTTCCAAAGCACTTGTAGTATTACCTATGATAAATATTTGGAAAAATATAGGGGCATATGACTGCATTGTACAGGAACATCAGTACAAGTGTCTGTGTATCTATCTATCTATCTATCTATCTATCTATCTATCTATCTATCTATCTATCTATCTATCTACTATCTATCTATCTATCTATCTATCTATCTATCTATCTATCTATCTATCTATCTATCTATCTATCTATCTATCTATCTATCTATCTATCTATATACTTACCTACCTTCTTATCCTAGCCATCAGGCCTCTCCCTCCCTCCCTCGCCTCCCACCAACCTTCCTCTCTCTCTCTCTCTCTCTCCCTCTCTCTCCCCCTCTCTCTCTCTCTCTCAGTTCGAATAATTAGTGATGCTCCAACAGCTCATACTTTCTCACATTATTGGAAGCTTTCATAATTTCCAAACATTTGGGTAGTTCAACAAAAAAATGCAACCTACGCAATTTCTTTAAGCGTCTTTTGCTCTATCAGAGGAAACAATTTGAAGAAAAAAATTCTTTCCTGTTTTGACAGAATAACGTCTTCAAATAGACGCACATTCAAAGAGTGCAGGGAAAATGCGTCCTCCGCAATTTCTTTTGCTTCATTTAATCTATTACAGGAATGTATAAGA